TCGTTGGCCTAGTAATAATGATATAATAATAATAATAATATAATATATTTACTACAAGTACATGGTATACAGGCCTAGCTGACATCAATGATACACTACTATATAGAAAGCCCCTTGTTATGCTCAGCATGTCGGGCAAATTAGGTCAGTGTCCCAGGATGCGACCCACACCAGTCGACTAACACCCAGGTACCCATTTTACTGATGGGGAGCATAGACAACAGGTGGAAAGAAACACGCCCAATGTTTCTACTCTGGCTGGGAATCGAACCCAGGCCCTTGCTGTGTGAAACAAGAGCATTAGCCACCAGGCCACCAGAGCCCTACCTAGAATGAATTTAGCTCAGAAGCATCAACACCACCGTATGTTCTCGGATGACGAGTACAGCACCTAGCTTGGTTGGGTGCGTCATTCCTGAGGATTGTGTGGCTCCATGGACTAGAGGATCATGTGTTTTCACTCACCATGAGGAGGGCCAAAGGAGCATGGGCTCGACTCCTTAGCTAATCGCAGTGTTGTTACTGATCATTACCACTCGTTCGTGGGTATAACCAGGGCCGGATTACCGCATAGGCAAACTAGGCATTTGCCTAGGGCCCCGCGCATTTGGGGGCCCCGCGGTCCAAGGGGTTCAGGGGCTCATCCAAGACTGCGCATGTGGTGCAAGTGCAAAGGGGTCCCTATCTAAAAAGTTCAAGTGTTTGGAGAGTAAAATTGATTTTTAAAAATTAATCAAAACAAAAATAAATAATGAAATAAAATAAAATAAAAATAAATAAACCTAACCATAGATGGCAACACTCAACACGCCTTTGTTTACATCAGAACAGCTGTGTTTTCCCGCTAATGGGTGAGTATAGGAGATTCCTCTCCAATTTTCTGTAGTAATTACACATAATGATTAGTTTAGTTATGAAAATGGTAATATAAATACCATTGTGCATTGTTCTTGGGCTCAGTATGATTTCTGTTTAAGTAAATTGGAGATCAAGGAGGATGAATTAGTAAAATATTCGTAGCCCAAATCACTAACCTAATCTATGGTAAAAGTTCTGTATATGACTCCTTTCTGGTAACGTTTTGAATTTTTAGATGCGCAGCCAGAGGATAGGGGGCTACAAGGGCCATATCCCCCCAGTTGACAGAAAAAAAAATTAATAATTAAAAAATTAATAATAATTGATAATGAAAAATTTGTATTTGCATGATTACAGACAGTGATACATCCTCATTATGGCATCTCGTGAACGTGATGTTGGACGTTCTTATGCGAGTGGGTCACAGAAAAGAAAGAAGAAAATTCAAGAAGAAGAACAAAAAGAAAGATGTAGGAAGCTGCAGAAAGATCACAGACATGCTCACGAAAACAGTTTCTGATGTTACCAGTACAGTTGAATCTGCAGATACGTCAGATCATACAGGAAGCCCTCCCTCCATTATTTCTCAGCCAGCATCTACTTCTTTTGTGTCTCCTCTCAATGTCTCAACGGACATTTCATCCACAGGATTTGTCTTAAAAGATCCTGCCTCATGGCCAAATGTAATCCAAGATTCTCTACGTAATGCTTTCATTGCAGAAAGCTTCAGTCAAACTCTGAACATTGACTTTAGGAAATCAGCAAGGATTTATGATGATGGAAGTCGTCGTTGTTTAAAGTCATCTATGTTTTATAGGAAGCTTGCAAATTCAGAAACTGGGAAAAGATCATGGACTTTTGCAAGCACTCTTTAATTTTTTCTCTGCTTCAACGCATCGGTGGAGTATACTCAAGTCAACCATTCATGGAGACGTCATCAAATCATTATCAACAACAAGGTGGTCAGCGCAGCATGATGCAACACATGCTTTGAAAGACGGCTTTGCTGAAATACGTTCTGCTTTGATCCAAATAGCAGAGGATGAAGACCAGACAGCAACTAAAGAAGCGAAGCAGCCAGCTTAGCATCAAAATTGGAAGATTTTGAATTGGCCTTACTCTGTGTGCTTTGGGATTGTATACTGGAACGGTTAAATGCCACGAACAAGACACTTCAGAAAATTGAAATTGAAATGGCTACTTGTGCTAACCTCTATGCAGGCTTAGTGGAATTTGTAAGCTCACTTCGCAATGATGAAGTTTTTGAAATGTTTGAAGAGAAAGCTAAACTGCTGGTGAAAGACTACAGTTACCGGGCTGATCATCAGCGGTCAAGGAAGAGGAAACGCAATTTTGAAGAGCCAGACAATGAAATTGTGTTGCTACCAAGGCAGAAATGTAAGACAGCTACTTACTTCGTCATTCTGGATTCACTGATTACAGAATTGGTGAAAAGAAAAGAAATCTACCAGAATCTCAATGACAAGTTTGGATTTCTGTTCAAAATTACTACTATGCCAGATGCAGAATTGAGAGAAGCTGCATTAAAGTTGCAACAACACCTTTCAGCAGATGTTCAGGACACATTTGTTGAAGAAATAGTTCATTTTTCTGGGTATATGAATCAGATTAAAGCTCCACCTGAAAAATGTGCGCCCACAGCTGCTTTGAAACATTTAAGAAATGCAGGTATCTCAGAAACCTTCCCTAATGTTGACATAGTGTATCGCCTTTACCTAACACTTCCAGCTACTAACTGTGAAGGAGAACGTTCATTTTCTGTTTTGAAAAGATTGAAAAACCAGCTCCGTTCAACAATGAGCCAAGACAAATTGTGTAACCTAGCCTTGTTGACCATTGAGTCTGATCTAACAAGAAATATTGATTTTCAGAATATAATTGATGATTTTGCCAATATGAAATCCAGAAAAAAATTTATTTAAGAAGTGCCTGTGAATATAAACAATTCTTTACTTTCTTGAGTTTATATGATTTGATAGTCTTATGCATGATGCAATGATAACAATAATGGTCAGTGATTTATAAAGGGAATAATAGTGCTGTAATGGTTATGCTGAATATAATAGGTACATGATGTCACTACTTTAATAGCCTAATCTAGTAATACTACGCTGTGTTGAGTTTATTCTCTTTAAAATGCATGATTTAACAAGATAGTTATAATGGCTGTTGGTAAATGGTTTTGGTTGTCTTGATGTACTTTCCCTATTAAATTTAATCTAAATAGCCAGATTGTATTTAATTAGACCTTAAACAGGCTCACACCGATCCCCCCCCCTCACCCCCAAGCTGGAAGGGGTCGCTTCGCTTACCCGTAACTCAAAGGGGCCCCGCCAATCTGAATAGCCTAGGGCCCGGAGACTTCTTAATCCGGCCCTGGGTATAACAATATATATATATATATATATATATATATATATATATATATTATATATATATATATATATATATATATATATATATATATATATATATATATGCACGGGCTGCAAGCCTAGTCCAACAACTGGTTCCTAGAATTTAACCTCGCCAAATGCAAAGAAGACCGCATACAGAGTACAGGCTAGGGGGCCAAAGACTGCAAACCTCACTCAAGTAAAAGGATCTTTGGGTGAGCATAATACCGAGCACATCTGAGGCGCACATCAACCAGGTAATTGCTGTAGCATATGCTCGCCTGGAAACCTATGAATTGCGTCCAAACACCTAGGAAAGGAATCGTTCAAAACTCTGTACACAGTGTACTTCAGGCTCATACTGGATCATGCAGCACCAGTTTGGAACCCACACCTGGTCAAGCACGTCGAGAAATTAGAGTAAGTGCAAAGATTTGCAATATGACTAGTCCTTGAACTAAGGGGAATGTCCTACGAAGAATGGTTAAAGGAAATCTGCCTGACGACACTGGAGAACAGGAGGGATAGGGGAGACATGATAACGACATATACTGCGAGGAATTGACGAGTTGGACAAAGACAGGATGTTCCAGAGATGGGACACAGCAACAAGGAGTCACAATTGGAAGTTGAAAACTCAGATAAGTCAAAGGGATGCTTCTAAGTATTTTTTCAGGCGTAGAGTTGTCAGGAAGTAGAATAGTCTGGAAAGTGACGTAGTGGAATCAGGATCCATACGTAGTTTGAAGATTAGGTTTGATGAAGCTCGTAGAGCAGGGGGAGAGTGGACCTAGTAACGATCAGTGAAGAGGCGGGGCCTCTTCACTGGTCGCAACCACAATTAAGTGAGTACATACTTATGCTTAAATATACATCTGTACTAACATACATTAAAAAAATTACATTTGTAAAGTCACAAGTACACAAGAATTTTTACTTGCAGAAATACATAAAAACACGTACTGAATACATTTGAAGATGCAAATATGTATATGAATCCATACGCATACACTTACACGTACATATACATATGTTTGCGTTTTGCTGCACTGAAGTTTCATGACCACCCTCCAATATTCCTTTTGCATGTAATGAGGTAGAGGAGGCGGGGCTTATGGAATATGAGGCACTTCTAGATATTATTATTATTAAATTTATAAGGAAGCGCTTAACCCGTAGGGGTCATACAGCGCCTGGGGAATGAAATTCATTCGGGCTTGATTCAAGGAAGTGGAGCGCAGGTCCAGTTCTTTATATCAAGAGCCCCTCACCAGTCACCATGTTCCACAATGCCTGCTCTACCATAGGCTGAATAAAGTTTAACCCTGCAGCCAATCATCGTCGTCGTCGTCGTCGTAACTCGAAGTTAGCAGGAAAAAAAATGGTGACTGAACTGTACATTCCCCGTCATTCCACACAACAACTGCCTTGCTTTACAAAACAACGAGGCTAACTATTCCTCCAATATCCCCAACATCAGTATACAATACCGTGCCACATCATACTCCTCCCTCTAAGCCCCTTCCGGAAATCATCATAATCGCCCCTCTTCCAGTGCCTTTCTAGTTTCTCTGTCACCCCCCACCCCTCATCCCCCACAATATTTTCCCCTGCTACCTCCACCCCTTCTCCCAGCATCCGCCGGCACGCCCATTTTACTGCATCCCTCCCACCCAGCACTCAGTAAATAACGGGTGTGATGTTCATAACGTGCGTATACTTTGGCAGCTGAGTGTGTGGGCGATCGTGCAAATATAATATCACATCACCCTGCGTTATAGCCTCGTGTCATTACCTTCAGTGGAAATGCTTATACCGTGGAACTAACAAAACAGACAAATCTAATATTGACATATGAGCAATGGCATTCACTCATGCGGTGAAGGTGTTGGTAGTGATTTTGGTGGCGAATATAGCTGAGATTGAACAAGGTGGAAGAGTAGTGACAGAGGGTCGTGGCATGGGTACCGTCACTGGCTCTGGACGTGACACAGAGAAGGTGTCAGCCTCAAACAGTCTCCAGCACAGACATCCTCGCCAGGCTCTGGCAGGAGGTCCAGGTGATGCATCGTCTTCTTCCTTGTTTTGTCTAGGTTAGGTAAGACTCGTCACGAAACAGGACAAGTGTTTCCTGACGCGGGTCTTGGTCATATGATGACCTGCCGCTGGAGCTTTCGGTCATCTGACCGAGGACTTCCGCTGGCTTACAGGTCCACCCCTTTAAAAATTATGATTATAATTATAACCCATTAAAACTTATTCATTATTTCTGTTCAAGGCTCTCTGACTGCTATGACTCAGTATAACAATTCAGCCGAGAAGCTTCTCATCCTCATCTTCTACTGGAGATGAGGATGAGAAGGCTTTCTTTTGATTACGAGTCCCAAGGGATATTAACCGAGAATAACCAAAGAAAGCCTAGCAAATGTGGCTCATTCCGGTAGGGATTTATTGGTTTTCTTTCATGCTGCCCTAGATTGTGCAATGTTGGGTATTCAAGCGGTTGGCGATCTTGTTTCTCGGAGCCCTTTCGAAGATTTTCATGATGTGAGACGTTAGTGTCATTGGTCTCTTATTCTTTGCGATTGCTTTAGCGAAAGGGTTTCTTTCTTGTCTTGATGAATACGGAGTTCCACGGCATTGGGCATGGGGAAGAGTGTATGGGCATGTAATTAATTCATTTTTCAGAGTCCTGTCAGAAATTTTGGAATTAACTAAATTTTGGGTCTCGGTCACGAAAAATCACTTACATTATCCACCCTTAGTCTGATTAACGGCTCACAAAATGCTGAGTCATATTGGGACTTCAGTATCTCACTCATTTCTTTGTTGTCATCTGTGTAAGTCCTTTCTTTTTAGCAAGGGTCAAATATTGGATATAGTTTTTTTTTCTTTTTGCCCTAGATTTGGCAGAAAAGAAATATTTTGCTTCTTTCAATTTCGTTTATTTTTTTTTTTTATTTTTTTTTGTGTGTGTGTGTTTCCTGGCTCCAGTATGATTCCTTAAGCATAAGTTCGATGTTTTCTATTTCTCTAGCCAGTGCCTCCTTCATTATTTTAGATAGACTGGCCCCCTGGAGCAGTTCTGTGATTCTTCTCCTTCGCCTGTAGAGGAAGTGTCTCTCTCTCATTCTAATTTACGTCCTCTCTGTGCTTTCAGCATTCCTCAAGTGTCACAGAGTTAATTCTTTCTAGACTCAGGTTCAGATCCTTGTCATTTAAGTTAACTTCCCAGCCTGTTTCGTTTAGGACATGGTTAGTTTGATCCAACTGGATGTTTCTGTTATTCATATTCCAGCAGGTCTCCGTATACTTGCTGCTTTTGCTCTCGTAGCAGTAAATAGTTACTTAGAAGTTAGTGGACTGTTGTGAGTGACATCCCGGAGAAGAGGACCGTTGGATGCCAAAGAAACTAAGCCACACTGCTTGACTTGCTCGCGTTAATAACACTACTCTACAGTAAAATAAAAAAAAGCTTCGGAAATTAATCATTATTTAAAAATTTTTGGTCACTGAATACAGAAATGATGCCTAAAATTGAAAACTGGTTTTATTTCTAAAGTTGTGGATTCAGACTGGTTGCGGTTTCCTTAACTTGGGAAGGGAGGAGGTATGCAAACTTTACAAGGAAAAGACTCTCGATTGAAACTCACATTGTGTAATAGTTTAAAAAACACATACAATTTATTTTAACTAGTCGATTGTTATCATGGTTATAATCGTTTTCAGCTTCCCACAAGCCGTAAAATGAAATATTTTCTCTCCAAAGCACAAAATTGCTCAAAATTTGTAGACCAGTGTAATCCTTTTCTTTCTTTAGATTATTAGGTTTAACACCTGTTGACTGTGCGTGGGATTTTAATGATGCAAATCACCTGTACACTAAAATCAAGATTACTTTATATCCCTTAAAATTTAGGTTTAGAGTAAATTTTTAATAGTACCACACGGAGATACACACCCTCAGCTTTGCAGCTTCCTTGTCAGTACGCTGAGGTCAGTGGTCACGTGTGGTTATACCTGTCCAGAGCTGTCTGGGATTAGCGTGGGGTGTTACCTAGCACCATGGCTTGTTGTAGTGTTACAAAATCTCAGGTTAAAGTGTTGAAGAAGGAGATTCTACTTCTTCAGGAGGAAAATAGGAGGCTGAAGCTTCGTCTAGATGGGTTTGGGAGTGAATGTGGGATGGTGGTAGTTAGTGAGGAGGAAAAAGTTACCAGCAGTGATTTGGAGAGTGGCAGCCGCTTTAAGTGGCAAGTGGTTCACAATTCACGAAGAAAGATGATAAGGAAGGTTAATAGAGAAGATGTGAAGGTAGGAAATCGATTCTCTGTACTCCAGGACGAGTGTACTTCAGTGGTTAGTGAGATTAAAGGTACCACTGACTCCCCTGCTTATCAAGGTGAGAGTATTCTGATTGTGGGAGATTCTCAGGTAAGATACATGGACTGTGCTTTTGTAACAGAGATAGAAAGGTCAGACAGAGGGAGTGTCTCCCAGGAGCTGGTGTTGGTGACATAGTCAGTAGGTTGGATAATATTATGTCAGGCAATGGGAACAAGCCCATTATCTGTCTTAGTCCTGGTGGAAATGACATCGGGAATGGCAGGAGACAGGAGCTGCTGGATAAGTATAGGTCAGCCATAGATGTAGTCAAGTCTAAGGGAGGGATTCCAGTCATATGTACCATCTTGCCTAGAAGAGGAGTGGGCAATGAATGGATGTCTAGGGCAATTGGTATAAATTGCTGGCTAGACAGGAACTGCAAGGAACTTGCAATCCCATTCATTGATAACTGGGACATATTCTATGGCAAGCACGATATGTATGCAAGTTCATCTCTCTGTGGCTGGAGTGGTTACATTAACCAATTCGATTGACGAGGTCATTGATGACTTGTCTAGGACTTTAAACTGATAGATTATAGAGGTATGGGTGTTTGTGGGAAACAATCAGGCTGCAGTACTAGGGTTGAAAACAGCAGATATAACCAGGATACCTCAGGAATATGTTTAAAAGACAATATTCAAAATAAAGTTGCTAATAAAGGCAAATCAATTGATCAACAAACAAAGAGAGATAGTAGAGGGCAACGAGTGACTAGCTCCCTTAAGACTTACTATACAAATAGTAGGAGTCTAAGAAATAAGATAGATGAGCTAAGATTCCTTGCAAGTGCAGGTAATATAGATATTATTGCTATAAAAGAGATCTGGTTCAACTTGAAAGATGGAGAAATGCCCTCTGAAAGCAACATACAGGGTTATAAACTATTCCATACTTATAGGGTCAACAGGAAGGGTGGTGGAGTGGCGATGTATGTCAGAGATAAATTAAATTGTTGTGTTAGACAAGATATAAGATTAGAAACATCGGACAGAGGATCTGTTTGGCTACAGTTTCTCGAGGGTCATGAAAAGTTAATTTTGGGTGTGATTTATAGGCCACCAAACCTTGATAGAGAGTGCAGTAAGCTGATATGGGACGAAATTCATAAGGCATTTAGATATGAAAATGTTGTGTTAATGGGAGATTTTAACTTTAGACAAATTGATTGGAACAATGTGACAGGAAATCTTGAGTCTAGTGACTTTCTTGATACAGTTCAGGATTGCTTTTTAAAACAGTTTGTGACAGAATCAACTAGAGGAAACAGTCTGCTTGACTTGGTTCTTGTCAACAAAGAATCACTAGTTAATAATCTTGAGGTTAATGATGAGCTAGGGAAAAGTGATCACAAATCACTTAGTTTCAATATATCATGGAATTACCCGGACAACTGCAATCAAATCTCTGTCCCAGACTTTCACTTGGCCGATTTCATGTGACTGAAAAATTACCTGGGTGAGCTAAATTGGGATGTCCTGACTATGGGTCAGGTAGATGGTCTTGGTTGAGAGTATGACGTTTTTCAGAGCATAGTTCTAGATGCCCAGACAACTTTTGTTCTGAGTAGGGAAATTAGATCTAACAAAAAATGATCCCAAATGGATGAACAATAGATTAAAACATCTCAATGGTCAAAAAAGAGGCATACATAGGCGTATCAAAAGAGGGGAGGGGCAGTTAAGAAATCAATATATTCGATTAAAGAGAGAAATAAAAAAAAGGAATAAGAAAAGCAAAAAGGGATTATGAGGCTAAGGTTGCAAGGTATTCGAAGACTAACCCAAAAGGGTTCTTTCATGTATACAGAAGTAAGATTAGGGACAAGATAGGCCCACTTAAGAGTAAGTCAGGTCAGATCACTGACAGTGATTAGAAATAATAGATTATGTAGAACAGGACGATAATAAACTATGCACGATTGCGGTAATTAGTGACATGATCCTCAGACAAATAGAGAAATTAAAAGCTAACAGATCCCCAAGCCCTGATGAACTGTTTGCAAGGGTGTTAAACGAATGTAAAGAGAAACTTAGCATACCTTTGGCTAATCTTTTCAACAAATCACTACAAACTGGCATAGTGCCTTATAAGTGGAAAATGGCAAATGTAATACCTATTTACAATTATTATTATTATTATTAAAGATTCGCCGGTATTCTCCCGGCCCGGGCCTTTTCCAAGTGGTGGCCCGGCCTTGGCTCCCTCTCTAGGGAGTGTCTGAGACCTAAGTCTCCCATGGGAGGAGGCACAAGTACCTCCTCAACTTTGGGACCAACTGTCCCCAGGCCTAGCCACAAGCTAGGCCTCTCTGGTCTGCCATCCCCGCCCCAAGGGGGAAAATGGGAATGACAGTCTTGTGAGCTGTAAGCTCGGGCTCAGGCACCTACCCTACCCTAGAAGGGCTGGGCATGGTGTCGATGCCTATTTACAAAGAAGATGACAAATCCTTAGCTTCGAACTATAGACCAATAAGACCATAGTGGGAAAATTTATGGAATCAATAATTGCCAAAGCAATTCGTAGCCATCTCGAAAGGCATAAATTTATTAATGAATCTCAACACGGTTTTACAAAGGGGCGTTCCTGTCTTACGAGTTTACTAACTTTCTTCACTAAGGTATTTGAGGAAGTAGATCATGGTCCCCAGGACGACGAGGGCTCAGCTACTACC